TAACTGCAGGTCCCAATGTGAGAGCAGCCTGTATTGTGGCGGGTGTCAGATTAAACTTGACTTAAGCTGTTTTCGCACACAAACTCAGGCCAGCGTTTCCCTTTCTCACATTTAGCAGACAACAGGACACACTCTCAACAGCTGTAACTAGTCTAGTCCTGGCAAGAGTGCTGGCTAGGTAAAACATGCAAGAGGCAGGATGCAAAGTCCACCAGCTTTCTGTAAAATCTCCAGGAAAATACCGACTCAGTTCTCGATCAAATATCACACAGGTTTAGTAAAAAGAAGCTGACAGGCTAAAGATGTCAGATGGTTAAATTATGTTTGAAATATTTTGGACCCCAACGCATGTGTGAAAATAAGTTTACTGTATGACTTTGCAACTGATTTTTCTTATGTTTCAGTAGTTTTGATTACCAAGTCTGTAGTCATGCCCTGGATAATAATGGCTTCTTTAGCAGCCACTGGCTCTTCAGCAAATAAGACATTTAAATATGGCAGCGGCTGATGCTAAACCATTGTGTCACATCAATCACTCAATGCGTGATTGTGTGACGAAGAGTTGGAAGACTGAAAACAGTGCAGTTGCTTTTTGATTTCTCTTTTTCCCGTGACAAATGGGGAAATAAATAACAACGACATTTAAAAACCATTCGCATTGCACATCTGCTAAATTGTCATTTTTAAACATCGGCATCAGCCTAGACTTTCCCGACTGGTGCGTCCTTAACTATTCTGTTCAGCAAGGTCATTAGTGTTATGAATATAAAGGTTTTTAACAGTTAAGGGGGAAATATCACATGCTAAAAACACATCATTAAGCCCTTCCGAGTAGGAACTTGCAGCTTTGCACAGTCGTTGACATTTTAACCCAGCAACGATACCTATGATCAACTCTCATGGCAACAATGACAACCGCTGCCTCAAACCTCTCCACAAACACACAGAGCATCAGTTCTCCCCAGATACACTTCTTGACATTTTGTCTGTCTGACATCATCGACCACAGTGGGCCTGGGACCTTTGCGCTACAGACCACTTTTTAAAGCTAACAGAGGCTCCAGGGTCAGGTTGCTACATAGTATTCAACCAGGATTTATGCAAAGAAGCAAAATATGTTTTTTAAACTGAGAAAATTGCTGGAATATTTTATACAAACTGCCCTTTGCTTTCGAAAAAATTTGGATTTTTTTAAAGCCTCTAGGCTTATTCCAGTTATTAATAAATGAAAATATCCTGCATGGAGAAAAATTAAAATAACTGTGCGCCTATCCCAAAGGCCAAGAGCGCACAATCGGCTGTAATGTGCAGCTCACAGATGAACGTCTTGAACTCTTGCTTTTTTCAATTTTATGTTGTTTCTGAATTTTAATTACAGCACTAAAACTGGCTGCGCGTCCCTCTACCCTTTGCCGTTTATCCAGAGTCGGACTGCAGCGGTTGCATGCAAAGCGAGGTTGTCCAGATGTCGCTGTCTAAAGCTTCAATTTTTAGCTCCTCCTGGGGGATCCAGAGCCATTCCCAGGCCAGATGAGATGCTCTATATAGTGTCTCTAGTGCATATCTGGATGTTAATTTTAAAATTTACAGAGCTACATCCAAAATATGTTGTTTTTTTGTTTTTTTTTAATTGAAGGCGTGACGAGGTAAAAAGAAATGCAGATGTATGTTTTGGGTTTTGCCCTTTAAGGCAAGAAGGTAGGTCAACATGAACGTTTAAGACTTTTTCATCCCTGAGATCCTCTGCAGTGATTCCCACATGGAGTAAAGCCATCACAGATGGATACTGGAGCTTGTGTAGCACTGGCTACACAAATATGCAAACAACAACATAGCGCAATGCAAAGCTAAAGATGAGTCATTAATAAGAGCTCTCGATAATCAGGCTGTGCTGCTCTGAGGGCGATAATCATCGGCCGCCTGCTCTCCAAGTGATAAGCTAATCAGCCCTCCGTCTCTGCAGAGCCGTCGAGGGGACTCATCATCATTGACATTTCAGCACAGGATCGGGCCTATTGAGACACGAAGGGGAGGGGGTGGTTACCTGAAGAGACTTAATTATCATTGCTGCACAATGATATCCTCTTAACTCTATTTTGCCTTTTTTATGAAGGTTAACATTCCTCTTTCAATATTACAGTCAAGGTTTCACGGCTGCCGTTGACCCCTTTTGCAAAGTGCTTGTTAATTTTCCACATAATTACACAATTGCATTTGCCATGTAAACATACAACGATCATCTATGCACACAACTCGCTTTCGAATTGTTTCCTCATATGCCAGGGCAATCTTGGAAAAATCAAGCCTCTGTCAGCAGCTCGCTTTCTAAGCAGCTGCAGCGTGAGTGTAGATGTTCTTCCTCAGACGAGACAGTTGTGTTGTTGCATGTTAAAATGAATTCATAACCTGTGGGGATACTGTCATGACAATCTGACAGCTTTTTAACAATACAGACCCAATGTAGCAGAGTCTCAGCTGAATATCTGTCATCCTCTCTCCAACCTGTGTTAGAGAGCTTACAGCATGGGGTCTAAAGCAGAACGCTCTCCTTCACTGGGGTTTTCTCGTTCTTACATTGCTCCAAAAACGCAGGAAGAGAAAGGATGTCATTACACAGCTAGTTCTAATCGAGATTAAATCTTCCTCCTGCCTTGTAAACTCGGCGCCAATAACAGTTCACGCCATCACCGGTTATGCAACAGATGCTACAGCGAAATGCAAAGAAGGATTCTGTGGCTCCCCGGCTCGAAATAACTTGCCCTCCCGTTTGCTTTGATCTCACAGGCATGTCTCCAAGGTGCGTCAAGGCACGTCAAGGCACAAGATGACATATCTTCCAGCTCCATAATGACCCATCTTCTTTTTCCTCAGTGAAAATTTTGGAGAGCTCTGACAGATGATATTAGTTATACCCAGGTGCAAACAACAGGCTGACAGATTCATGCTGACAGAGCAGGCTAACGCCGATCACTATAGCCCGACTACCTGCTGTTATAAATATTGGAGCTGGTTCCAGTGGGGGGAAAAAACTTTCAAAGTAGTTTCTGTTGGGGATTACAGCATATTTGTAAATTCTTGTGGTTCTTCTTGTCTGAATAATCTGAAACACTGGTTTACAACTGTGAAAATTCCCATAAACAGCCGCTGAAGTCGGTAAAGACTTTGGAAAGTCCCAAGAAAGTACACGAGTGTGCACATTAAAGTAAATATTTAGTTGAATGTAAGGTACTTTTGAGAAACCGTGCATATTCATGTGACACATAGCATTGTTTGTTTTACTAATGTTTAATCTGTAACATGGTAAAAGGACATAACTGAGAGTTCCAGTGTGCAGACTGACTTTGACTACTTAGAAAAGCCATTCAAGTGCAACAGTGCTGATAGCAAGTCAGGTACGTCAATATGCCATCTAAACAGCAATAAACTACAACATAATCACATAATCTCTGTTGTTTTAACATCTCAATTTAAAATCACAAATACAACAAAATCAGAGTAAAGACATTCCAGCACAGGGAAACAGAATGATGAAAAAACCTCGTAAATGCAGCGATAACCTTGTCTTTTAATGACCTTTCCCGTACACGATTACTGTTATTTCTATCCATCAAAGGTGCGTTTTATAGTGACAGCAAAGTGTTTCTGTTATTCATGAGCAGGTTTATTTATACCTGCTTTTATTTTATGGAAAACGTTGTCACCGTTTCCTTAATAATCCCATTATGTCTCTGCGCCACTCAACAACTTCACAGGGACGTTATTTTTGGCACATGTTTATTCGCTGAGTGTCAAAGGTGCTGATCAGGAAGCTTTTTAGTTTAAAGATGAAATCCATCAAACAAGCTGCTCTTTGTGGCTCACTGTGCTGCATCCGGGACTTCGCGTACAATCATTGTAAATCCTTATTCCTTATAGGTTTTATAAAACACTCGCACAGTGTCTTGCATTGTGCTTACATCACTCAACAATAAGTTCACAGCACCATTCGGCTGATACTTGCTGATACCATCAGTCAATATTGGCCACAGTTACATGCATCACTGCACAGAGGTAGATATATAGAAAGTGGAGTTAAAGTTTTTATGACCACTATCTCACTTTATTCAACTCTGAGTGTTTTACATGTGTTTTATTTGGGTTTAAGATGTCTAATTTGAAAAAAGAAAAGCACTGAATTAATTTTTTCAGATATTTTACTCTAAATGTTCTGGTATTGGTCTCTTAATTGACTACAGGGTGCCTTATATCATAATATTAACATTTACGTCATTTTATCTTCTTAAATTTGTATGCACTGCGTGTTCGCAAGGCTGCTTCTTCTGCCATGATTCTGGAGTTCGTGTATTTTTCATACAGTTCGTGTAGTCGATATTCATGCAGCCCTCTTGACAAGGTATTTATTCCTGAAGGGCCACCTCAAGAGCAGGGGCCGAGCCATTCTCATCCCCCGCAGAGAACGCGTTTCCCCATCAACACCCTGTTGCTCCACACGACGAGGACCAATTTTTGCCATTACTCTAATGGTTAGTAAACGGACCGGCAGTTGTGATAGCGCCCCATTTCACGGCCACGCTTCCCGACAGGTAAACACAGATTTCAGGTCAGCCGTGCTGTAAGGGTTTGTAGCGGCTCAGGGAGGATTAGGTTTCCTGAACAGTCACCTGCCGACGAAAGCGGCGAGGAATTAGGACAAACACCGCAAACCAGGAGAGCCACACCTCGCGTCGTGGCTTACCGAAACTCAACACACACACATGCACACACAGATCTGATGTAGAGCTCGGACAATAAACTTTTACAATAGGTCTCGGCGCTCTGAGCAGCAGCCAGAGAGGACGCGGAGACGTGACACCGTCAAACATCCAGCACTCCGGGAACGCGGGCTGCCCTGCTGGAAAAGTGCCGGGGGTTGCTACATTCAGAGAACAAGAGGCTACAGGAGGCGAAGAACTGACGGGACTTCCATTGTAAGAAACACAGCTGGGCTCGTTCACACTTACCTTGGGCTGCAAGTAGGACCGCTACTGCCACCAGCCAAGCGTTTCTCATCGGATACACCGGGCAGCGCGCTGCGTAATCTCTCGCCATTCTTATACACAGGAGATAAGGTGGACGTAATATCCACAACAGCGCCGTGCGTTTCAGCCGGGCTCCAAATTATTCCTTCTCCGATCAGCCAAGAAACTTCGAGCTCAGTTCAGACCGCCTGCGCTGAAAGCAGCCAAGTTACAGCTTCTCTCTCCTCCTGCCGCTCTGAGAGTGCCTCTCCTCAGTCTGGACCGTGATTAGTTTCTCTGTCCTTTGCTTTAATTCTGTTAATGACAGGAAGAGTCAGAGCCCTCCCCACGTGGACCGGCCGCAGTGCGCAGGCAGCCGGTGGCTGTGTTTTTGTGCCGGTGCGTCTTGTACAAGGCGAGCGGAGCGAAATGGAAACAAAGTGTGGACGGAGTGTGTGTGAGAGTGCTGGAGCTCCGTGTGTCTGATGCGGAGAGCTGAGTGGGGGAATATCAAAGTGATGTCAGCAGAGCGTCACCAAGAGGACTTCAGCCGCAATACTGAACCCTCACAGCCACAGACGCACAATCCGAGCGCGGTGCAGTTTAAAAGGTTAGAAATACAGAAGGGACGCGTCTGCATACCTGTGCTGTGAGCTCCGGGTGTGTTCTGCTGACACCTGCCGCTTGTTTGTGTATATGTGCGCGCGCACGTGTGCGTGCGTGTGTTGGAGCAGATTTTCACTGTTGGAGATGGAGCATCGTCGTGATACAGAGTAACGACATAGAATCTTTTAAGCAGTTAAGCATTTTAATTTCATGCTTATAATATTTTTTATTTGTTTCTGTTTCACTTTTCAGCGAAGATTCCGTACTTTCCCGGGAGCTGCCGCTTATTCACACGGTTACTGGTTATTTCCGGATTTCCCACATATGACTATATAAACTAGTGTTGGGGAACTACTTATAATCCAATCGCACCTTTTTATTTAGGGCAAGCAAAAACAAGTAGCAAGCAAAAACAAGTAGCCTTTCATACTCTACAAGCAGGGTCCTTAAATTGAAGTCCCCAGGCTTCTGGGTAATATTTTCTGCAACCCTTAATTGTGTGGAGGTTACATTACTGTACATTTATTTCATCCACAGTTCTTGTTATTTTCTGAACAAATGTCCTACAAACTCTGAGAGTTTTAGGTCTGCGTTTCCCCAACTCTCTGTAACATACTTCATGCACTCAACCATCAGAAGTTTGAGCTCTCGTGCACTCAAGGTAAATCTTTGATAGCAAATTTCCCTTTATGGAAGAGACCATCTATAACATTCAATTGTTGCTTTTTGGATTATATTAATAATTACATGATCTATGATAATAGCTTTTGTTATACTAATTTTAACAGACCACCTCTATTGCCACATTTTCTACTACAGATTAATCACAGTTTGTTCATCATGTAGAAACAAATGAAATGATGAAAATGTTTGCAATGAAAGCAGTGTCTTCACATTGGTTACTCTGTCTGACCAGCAGCCAAGAAATCATCAAAGTAATTTATTAAAATCACCGAGAAGCTTTGTCAGCAAATGGTAACTGAAGCTGGTTATCATGGATCAAAGTCATTATTGACTTCTGCCCTTCGATTTAGTGATAAATCATCTGACTATGTGAGTGAGGAATATAGTAAACAGTAGACATCACCGAGGGGGGTTTAGTGTGCCTGTTATGAATCAATAAAGGTCATATTGTTCACATCAGATGCGATGTCTCCGTGGACTTCACATAATGCTTATTGTAATGGTTTTCTAGCCAAAGTTTTCTAAGAACTGAGGGGAAGCAGGTGCTCAGCTCACCTTGTTGAAGGCATTCCAAAGAGAGACAAATTTATAATCCAGATTTTGGCTGTTTTATTTTCTCAGGTGTATTTTAATGATATCTGATGTTAAACATATTCATTTAGCTTCTTTTTTTGGTTGTCGTAGTGTAAGTAAGTCCCAAAGTACTGCACAGCAACAATTTGACTTCTAGAAAAGCTTTGGAAACAACTCAAACCTCCATCGTCTGCATAAGCATTCAGATTTCCACTTTATATGATGTATTTTATTTCTTTGTCCAAAAGAACTACAAAAGAAATTGCACACATAAATTCAGGTTTGCAACACACACGAAAAAGTCGTAAGGGATTGCAGTGGTGGGGGTTAAGTCTCTCTAGATGGATGCCGTCATTTACTTTGTTGTCCCTTCCACAGAAACAGTGATGCTGCGGGGTTTTTTTAAAGACAGAAATGGTTCTCCTCCACACACAGAGGACGTTTGCCTGTCTGTTTAAGACGATAAGGACCATCTTTGAAGTCCACTGCAGTGCTTTTTAAAGTTTCTGCTGAAATAAGTTGTACCAGCAGATTGACTGAGAAAGTTACTCTGTTCACAGCAACACACTGTAGAGGCGAAGCTCAATTAACTGTGTGATTGAGTCATAACTCCAAAATACTGCAGTGGGAAATATTTCTAATGCTGTTTGTGTTTTATAGTGATTTAAAATAAAACACTATCCAATATAAAATCTTTAGTTTATGCCAGTGAATAATACAGGTGACTGTTTATTCACACATTGGATGGCTAGATGGAATAATGGTAACATCAATTCAGTCATTTCACAAACAGACAGTTTGACTAAATTACTTAAAAGTTGTAAATAAACTTGTAAATAAAAGTCTGCCTCTTGGATTTGCAACCCTAGCACGTTGGAAGTGATTCATGTGGCACGCAGACAGGACATGCTGAAAGTTTTGCAGGTAATGTGAGAACTGGTTTTCTGTAAAACGCACAAGTGGGGTAGGTTAGTAATCAGATTTGCCTTTGATGTCTTTGTGTTTGTCTGATCCCTTAAGTGTACTTTTAAAATGCTGTTCAAATATCAGGTTACATTTGTACGTACCCACCAAATCAGTGTTTTTCATATGACGTAAATGAAAGTAGCTACATCTAAATAATCAGGGTTTTGATTTACAAGAGGTAAATCAGAGTTCACAATTATGAAATAGTAGTTAAATAGTTAACTAGTTTAAAAACAGGGACCAGATCTGTTAACACTGGCAGTCAGTTACCCAGAGTCTCCCTGCAGGTGACCAGTGAAAGTGGCTGAAGGTGTTGCATGCTCCTGTTTTAGGGTCACTGAGTAGTGCTTATGTTGTAGTTGTAGGTGTGGTGACCAAAAACTATGTTCATGTAATCAGGCTGTATGTGTTTTATCATAACTAATTACCTGTTCACCCACATAATTAGAATCTGGACTTACAGCAGACAGTCTTTCTTAGAGTCTCACAGTCTGACAGAAAATAAAAGGGAAACAGATTTAACGAGGATGTACTTATCGCTTTTAAAATATTTATTTGGTAAATGGTTTTTGCTCAGCAAGTCACATTTGGAAAGCATTTTTTGGAAGGTCACCCAGGAGTCAAACCTCCAGCCTCACAAATAACGGTCATCCAGCTCCATCTGAGCTGCAGCTGCCTTCTAGTGCAACACCAAACAAATAAAATAAGACATATTTTTTCATACTCTAAACACTCTGAGAGTCTTGCCTGTGGTGAAAACATATTTAAAGGCTTAAATAAAACATTGAGTAAGTTATGCTTTGCCTCCCCATACTGATATCAATATGATGAAAGATCTTGTTTTGCAGCTTACAGTAACAATGATGCCGTCGTGCTCCCACACCATCTGCAGTATCACAACAATCCCACTTATTCCAAAACCAGCAATCACTGTCACAGTGAAAACAACTCTTCATCACCCAGTCACAGCACCCACCTGTCTTTTCCAGCTGCAGTGTTACAGTGTAATGCACTCTCTGCTTGAGCACCATGATTTTTGCTTCAAGAAAACCAAATAACCACCTCTTTTATAGTAGAAAATGAATATAGGTCTCCCTGTACCTTCACTATTCAAAACATTTTACTGAAAAATAGCATGCACAACTGCCCTCTGAGAAGCTCACCTCCCTGCATACCTCTAAAACCATCCCCACTAAGCTCCCACCATTTTGCTGGGTGGCGTACCCAGCCGCCCACCTCTCCATTATCACCTCATTAGCGGGCTGCAAACTGGCCCACCCTCCATTTTGGCTCCAGCCTCAATCAGCCCATTAATCACAGCAGAGCAGGGAAACCTTCTGTCCTCTGAAGACTCGCAATGTATTCTGCTGGCCCCTGCTGTGTGTGTGTGTGTGACTGTGTGTGTGTATGGTCCTGCTGCAGCATACAAATGATCCAGCTATATCCTGCCATCTGTTGACTGCTAAAAGTAATGCTTCTACACTGACATACACAAAGTTCATGATGTTTTCTGTCTGTCTTTTCATCTTTATCTAAACACATAATTACGTGATCCAAGGTTTATCTCAGCAAAAGAACAGATGGAATAAAGCACGCAATCACTGCAAGTCTTCATAATTAAACAACAAAGTGGTTGTTGTTAGTCCAAATTCAGCTCCTGAGAGTGTTTGCACGAACTATCAATGTGGTTGAAGAATTCATCATTTTGAGCCAACTACCTTTTAGAAAAGGGCATGGAAAGATTGTCTTTATTTTATTCTGCTTGAACTTTCAAAGTACTAAAAATATGTTACACTACAACTGGACCCAAGTCCTTAATATAGAATTAGACATTATTGTAGGCAGGTACAGACTAAAAAAGTCAGTGAACTTAAAGTGAAAATCACATGTAGGGTGTGTTATAGTCCATTATCTTTTTTTGAAGGAAAACTGTGATCCAGACAGAGCAATGATGGATGCATGGATGGATGGATGCATGGATGGTTGGATGGATGGATAATATTTTACAGTACAGTACTGCTGGTGGGTGTTTCTCTGAAACCCAAAATCAACTTTAATGTTTTTGAAAACAAAGCCCACCCCCTTGGCCACAGTAATCCCCTACAGCTCAATCCTCCTGCAGCTCATGAAACATGAGAAAAAGCCCAAAGTATTGCCTCATCCCCCAAACTCTCTAAATGCCAGTGTGACTCAGCATCCATGAGATGCACCATAAAAAAGCCCAGTGCACCCAAAGTAGCTGCCAGTACCCAGATATCTGGAATCACAGCATACCCACACCAAGCCACAGTCATACTAGGGAATGCAGTAGTTGGAGACCATGGCAAGGCCAAAACTATTCCAAACATGTGCCATAAACTTACAATCTAGATGCCTTTAAAAGTGTTGCTTCCAAGACAGAAACCAGGTCTGTGCCCACTCCAAGCTAGTTTCCAGCTTCAGAGCATCTTTGGTGTATGGAGGTGGAAATAAAACTGCATTAAGCATAAATTGTGTTTTTAATTGCAATTGAATGGGGTCAGGTTGACAATTAAATAGAATCTATTTTTAATAATGCAGCAATTAACTGTGATCACTCTATGAATATTGTTTACATACATAGAAATGTACAATAAATAGAAATTTACATGCACTACTAGCATACAGAGTCCAGCTCCAAACATGTAACAATTCAGAAATTCCTCTGGATATCATTGCTGCAGAATGCTGATAAATTAACTTGTTTTATATAAAACCAAACTACAACCAGTTGGCAACCAGTTGAGTCAAGCTCTCTATTGCAAAGAGATGCATCACAGACCAGTTACACTAACTGGTGCAGACTGACTCAAATCGATTGCAACATGTTAGAA